TGTTATAATTTAATAAATTTTTACTATGATATATACTCTATAGTAGATAACTCTTTACAAAGAGTGACATTTATAATAGGTGTTCTCTTACAACATGTTAGCATAATTAATGGTCTCTTAACTTACCCGCACCCTATCATTAGCTCTTAAGTATTTATGATCTCGTTTATTTTATTTCATGTTTTAATTCAGACATATTGATGCGACTTATCTGTTTCTATAAATAGATAATGGAATTAGCTAAAATAATTTATTTTATTTTAGAATTTAGAATTTATATATATATTAAATTTCTTAAAGAAATCATATGTAACAATAAGCATATTTCAATTTTTGGAATATTTCCAGAAGTGTCTTTTGTAGAATATAAAAGACATCTAAAATACAATCATTGCGATACAATCTTTGCAATTATCGTATTTTATTTAAAATTTTTAAAATAAAGTTTTTAATTTAAAATAAAATATTTAATATGTATCCGATAGTTTTTATTTTATTCTATCGGCAATTATTGATTAATGTCATGGTTCCAAGTAGAACAAAGCAATTTTAATTACGTCATTACATGCAGATCAAGTATCAATATAGTCGTTTTGAAATTTTATCTGATATTATCTATGATAAAAGAGACGAATCATCACATATACGCACACATACGCATTTATTGTCACAATCAAAATATACTACATCCAAAGATCAAGTGAGAATCTCTCCACTCTCCATATCAGTCCCTTAACATTTGAGAATTTCTCAACCGGTAAGGCAGATTACTCTGAAGCTTAACGAGTCTTGAACATATTAAATAAATTGGTCTTTAATTATAAGTGGTTATAAGAGTTGTCTTCAGTTCTTTTTTTTTATTACAAACTTGTTTTACTTTCGATAATTTTTAACTACTTTTTTCGTCTTACTGAGATGCTATCATTCATATATTTTTCGATCAATATTACATTCAAATATCTTGTTCTTGTTGAATTATAGAAAATAAATTATAAACATCAGATATCATTTTAATAATATATGAATGTACTTATGCGCCATGAGAATAGCAACGATTTATTTTGTAACAATGGCGGGGATAATTGGACTTGGAATTTTGAAAATAAAAATAGTATAATATATTTTATATATTTGTATATGTTGTTGATTATTGCAAAAATTCTATCGACTGTGAGAACTACAGAAAGTTCTTCAATATAACCTTTGCAATCAGGTAATGACACGAAAGACCGCCAGATGGCAAAGAAAGCATCTTCCGAGTCCTTGCTGTGCGATTTTATCTTTGCTCCTAATGCATTGCCAATCAATATACAATCCATTAATCAATAAATTTTTTAAAAATTTATATATTTATATATTTCATAGTACAGTATATAGTACAGTTTATAATATAGTTAAATAAGATTGATTTATATAATCAGAGAAGTTATTATAAAAATACATTATTTCTTTTATGTTTTCAAAATGTCATTATTAATAAAAATTAAATTATTGCAAATAAAATAAGCTGTAAAATAAGTTGTATATTTTAAAGATTTTAGTCTTTGTGTTAACTGTCATAAATACAAAAATTTTTATTTATTCGAATTATTTTTCAATATTATTTTTAAATTAGATCATATTTCATATTTAATATATATTTTGCTTAAAAAATTCGATAAAAACATAATTATCATAATTCTCAATTCTAAATTATTGTTTAGTATATTATTTTTTTCTATATTTTACATTCTGACTTTTTATGATCTTTAATTCGCGTGCAAAAAAATAGCAGCAATAATATTAAAATGTCAGCTTTTATTGGTCAGACATTATTGAATTGGATAGAAAAAGAAATACGAAAAGAAAAAAATAGTGAAAAATTGAATGATATAGAAATTATAAAACAAGGAGCGATGCTAAGAAAGAAAGAATATTTAACTAAAATGAGAGTCGAAAGCAGTGTGTTGAACCATTGCTTGGAGGAAAGCGGAGAAGCTAAAGTCACGATGAGAGCGATGAGGAATGATGCTGGTTTAGCAAGAGCGCATATTTGCCCGACTCGAGTGCAATGGCCCTTTCGTTTTCGCGCTCGTCTTCTCGTGTACGCCTCCTAATTCCCCCTTCAAAATTCTCCTTTTATTTTAATTCTTTTTTCAAATCCATGGAATTTATCATTCATACAGTTTATATACATATTGATAACAATAATATTTGTATTTTTATTCATAATATTTATGTCCGATGTCTTGCATATAGATAATAATAAATACAAAATACTCAATTTTACACAGTATATAATTTAGAGTATTAATAGAATATTTATCATAATCAAAAATTATCAATGAAATGTAATAATATAGAGGCAGTAGTAGAATATTTACTTTTACTGGTAAATTCATCAACTTTAACTCGTTAAGGTATTTAACAACAAAAGAGTAAGATATTTAACAACAAAAAGTATCTTCAAAACTAATCGGTCGCTATAAATGCCATTTTAAAGAAGGTATTTAGGCCCATTTTAGGGTATCTATATGGCCCGTTACACCTTCTCCATTCACATGGTAGCTTTCCTCACGCCCCCACCGTATACCGACACGCGCCCTTCTACGCTATAAGCTTACAGGCCCTGACTTTTACGATTCTGTTCAAGTGGTCATAAAACCGAAGTTTATTGCCGTCATGATTTTCAAGCAAACGGGCTGCCACCTGTCGGAGTCTCGCAAAAGCGAAAACTACATTGAATCTTCATCAATGACATTATCAAATTAAAGATTTAATAAACCTTTGTGTAACTTATATTAAGCTCTTTAAGTGTAACGATCGCCTATGTGTATGATGTGAAAAATATATTTGTATAATAATAATATAACTTTAGCGTACATATTACATTATATTTCTTGTTATATTTATTATTTAATAATAAAAAATAAATCAAGCAGTTAACTTTTACACAAGTACATGAGATTGTTCAGCAAATTAAATATATCGCGGATATTATTTTATTTATTAGATGATAGAATATTCCAATCATTTTGCATTTATATGACTTAAATATACGAAATATGCGAATTTAAATATTATTCATTTTTATTTAAAAATAAAATTTTTATAACATAGCAGGTGGTTAATATTAGCAAGCGTTCATAATAGCAAGAACAAAACAAGAGCGAATAAGCAAATGACTAGGGTCAGCTCCAGCGAGCAGCTTATGATGGGCATTACTCGGCTCGTTACAGAATAATTTATGAGGTGCGAACCGCGGGGACGATAATCCAGCGACATTTACATCCCAATAAACACTCCCGATATTCTCTAGCGTGGCGCGCGCCGTAGAGTCGCTCGTCTGACTACCGGCCTTACGAAGCCTACTTTTATGACATTTTAATTGTACGGTCGTCGTTTAATTGATACATAAAACAAAGATACGACTTATAAAAAGTGTTTACGATAACATTCTTATTACGTTTATACTCGCGTTATGTATTCTCGATATCAGACCGATTTGATCTAATAAGATATTAAATGATCAAGCTATCTCGTAATGTTTTTCGTTTCTAAAGTCGTTTGCCTTCTCCATGTACTGACTTGTCGATCAGGCTATTCTATGTCACAATGAATTTACGACATTGCTACTGCAATAACGATAATCGTGAGATAGCTCGTTGATGTTGGTCGTTTGAATGTCTGAATGGATCTGGCAAGGTTAGTTCGCTACAGTTCTGAAAGGTGGCAGTACACGTATCCCCACGAACGAGCACAGAGGAGAGAAAGAGAAGGCAGAAACATTGCGTGACGCGCGTGCCGCGCGCGGTGCTCCATCTCTTTCTCTCTCCAGTACGGTACGGACACAGCGTGCCTGTATTCTCCGGTACCTCGCACGTTTGGTAGTGGGGGATTGTGGGGCGGTGCCTAGCCGTTCATGGGCGTCGTTCCTACTTGGAACTACTTTCGCACGGCGTAGGAACTTTCATGCCACACCAGCGCGGTATTCGTGACGAATTCAATTCTGATTGGTCCTTAAGTATAACCTCCTCCCTTAGCGGCACGTTCTCCCTCCTCTCACCGCTATCGCAACGGCGCTTATTCTGCTTCGTCTCGCTCTTAACTATTGCAATTGCGCATAACGTTCTTTCTTTTCCTCTTTAGTTCCCTCTTCCCCGGCTTCTTATTCGTTTCTGCTCGTGTCCTTGCGTACTCTCATCTCTTTCCATTTCCTATCTCTTCCCTTTCTTTCGCGATGCGACGACCAGTTCTTTCCTCTTCCTACCTCACGCCGTCTTATCTGCTCGTGCGTCTCAAATGTGACGCGCACGGCGAGCGAGTACGAATTTAATCTGGCGGTACGTCGTTGAGTTACTGGAACGCTCGATAGGGGGCACTGAGGAATCATATTGTGAGAAAGAGAGAGAGAGAGAGAGAGAGAGAGAGAGAGAGAGAGAGAGAGAGAGAGAGAGAGAGAGAGAGAGAGAGAGA